ATGATTTGTTAAAAATGCGAAAAATCAATATCAGCTGTTTAAGCAAAAGCAATATTATTATGTTTTGAGTTTCCCTAGGTTGGCAATAGGAAACAGCTGTTTAACGTCAACGTAAAAATCCCTTTTTTAACCCGTCGTGTAAACACGACCCAAACCGTATTTTCACTAAATCGCATTATTGACTAATGCGAATTAAGCATATAACCCACAAAATTCTAAAAGTTACTGGTTTGTGGAAGTATGCTTTGGAATTAAATAAGACAATAGAAAATTTCATTAATGACTTATATTTAATTAACAATTATAAACAATCAATGCAATTGGCTGTGACAGTCTCGATTATATGATATTAGATATGCAACTGGAATACTTAAGTGTTTCTGCTTCGGTTGGTTGGGAGAAAGGCCTCACCCTCTTCGCTGCACTCGTCCGCTGGTGGGTAGCGTGATTGTCCGGCTAACGTTGGAGAGCTTGTGAGACTCCACCAGTCTCAGTGCGTGAGCTACTTATGGGGAGGGTCAATTCTCGTATCTTCCTAGAAGATAACAAACAGCAGTATTCTACTCAACACAATTGATAAGTACCCAGTTTTGTGGTGGTGTTCTAATTTACCAATTTAACTGTCTGTTGGTTGCCAATGAAGGTACAATAAAAATAACTTATGATTAAACAACATATTAGGGATTCAAATAAACAATAATCAATATCTAAATCCAACTGGTACTTATTATAATAAAAATTATAATTAAAATTTAAAAAAGAAAATAGGCAATGACAGTTTAAATTAAGTTATAATTGAAAAGATTGTCCAAATTATTTAAAGAATATAAATATAGAATTATAAAAAAAATATAAAAGAAAAATATTTTGCTCTCTCTAGAAAATTCCAGACCACCACAATCACTTCGGTACGACTTGAAAAAAATATATATTGTTACAGTAAATTATTTGATTTAATTTGTAGACACGTGTAAAAAGAATAAAAAAATATGTAAGATAAAAAAACTAGAAATATAGGAAAATTTAAATTAGAACAAAAGTTAATACTAAAATGCGATATTAAAAGATAAATTAAAAAACTAGATAGAAAGATAAAGGTAAATAGAAAGATAGAGATAAGATACGAAAACCGATAAATGCTCAATTCGACAGATAAAAACTAAAAGAAAAGATATGTCACTCCAGGAACAAAGATAATGCATCCGCCAAATAAGATAAAGATAAGGTAAGGTAAATTTGGCAGATACGAGGTAAAGATACGTTCCCTAGAGTGACCCAAAAACAACAAAAAACAAAAATCTATCTGTCGAATGGCCTGCCAATAGACACCACCACTACAGGGTCCAGATAAACAAGAGTTGCCTTCTGGCAAGCAAGGATTCGTTAAAGGTGACATAAGTCGTATAATATAAATATTATAAAAAATCCTTACTTACCAGAGTTCCTCCTGGTTCGTCTCTGAGAGTACTCCTGCAGTGATTGATTCTATTCATGGCCCCTGAGATTGCTAAATCGAACAGCTCTGCGGGTTCCTGTTCGACAGTTTGCGTCTCAGTACATAAATAAGAAAGATAAAAATAATTTGTACTAAATAAAAGTTAAAGGTATTAGAAATTTTTTTACAAAACTACCATACACGTGCTACTAAGATAAGAAGATAAAGAAATGATGATAAAAAAAATGAACTGTGAGATAAAAAGATAAAATAGAAAAAGGAATTTAAAGTTACAAGCTAATTAAATAATTAAATCAAATAATTAACTCATATTAGATAGTAAGAAATGTTTAAACAAAAACTAATAAATAATTTTCAAGTTGTACCTCGTGCCGGTGTCTGGAAAAAAACTAGGTGTTTAAGCAAAGAAGATCGAGATGAGAGAGCGTGAAACAAGTCCCTTTATAGAATTCTCCCATTCATTTAGACATGCGTTAAGTACCAAATGTCAATATAAAAATTTATAATTAATAGTAAAAATAATAAATACGATAAAAATTTCCTACATACCTTCAAAAAAATGTGTGTAACAATTGCATCTTAATTATTTAACACTAAACAAAATATTAATAATAAACCTTCGTTTTCATTAAAAATAAACAAATTATTATCGGTAACCCATAGGCAACCAGAAAATATATAAAATATTTAAACAATTTAAACTAACAACCATCGCTAGTGATGTGTACCACTATCGAGGTTCCGCAAAAAATCGATAATATATAAAAAAACGGATAACCGATATAAAAGGAAAAATGTAACGAAAATATTTTCGTTACAAGCATTCGTGTAAACTTGGTAATTGTAATAAAAACGTTAAAAAAAATTGAACCGATTTCAAAAATAAAGAAGACCTACACTAAAAAGTATAAAATAATTTTTAATGTTATTTTATTTAAAACTCAACTTTTTGAAGCCGGCCATATTATAATCCACTGTATAAAACCTAAATCTACAAGAACAAAGTAAAATTTTTTGTAAGAATGGGAAGACCCAGTAAAAAGACTGCGCAAATGAGAGCGACTCGTTCTTTAAGAATCCAAAGCCGGAAAAAGAAAGCGATTAGATACCGCTAAAGAACATGTTGCAAAAATGAATTATTTCTTCGTCATTTTTCAAACCCCCCCTCCCCCTTCTTTAGTGGGTGTATAATACAAATTTATTAATGGATCAATCAATAAAAACTTTTTATTCTAAAAAAGGCAGATTGCTCGATTTTTTAGCGAAGACATCCAAATACTTTTAAAATGACATATTTTTCGAATTTTAACGAAGAAAAGCTATTTTCTGACAATTAACACCCTTTTTAACCCCACCCTCCAAAAATTAAAATATTTTTGAATTTTATTTCCAGGTATTTAAAGTAGATTATTGCCATTATCGAAAAAAATGTGGCAAAAATTAATTATTTGACCCCGAAAACCTAAAAAATTACATACGAGATCATTTTTTAATTTCCACCCCCCTACCCCCTTCTTTCTTTTATACGGGGGTGAATATCGCAAAATAATAATGGATTGGCCAATAAACACTTTTTATCTTAAGAAGTCGGTTAAATTAAAATCCGCGAATACACATAAAAAAGTTTTCATTAATTATTATTAAATGTGCCGCCATTTTGTTGTAAGTTAAGATATTAATTTTATATTTGGATATTTTAAAGTACTAACCATGAGCTTTAAAATGATGTATTACACGACCCCACTTTCTACTTAATTTTTTGATTCATGATGGCGCCCAGCCGCCATTTTGAATTTTTTCTTGATCAAATTAATATGGTACCACACCAGAAGTATAAACTTTCATAAAAAAAATCATAAAAATCGGTAAACAACGAAAATATATACGGTCGAATTGAGAAACCTCCTCCTTTTTTGAAGTCGGTTAAAAAGGGACATTTGTAAAATGACAGAATTTAGGGTTTCGGGCTCTCTCTAAATGGCGGCTTCGCAACGTTGCGTTGTTTCGCGGGTTTTCAATAAATTCTTGTTTGAGTAATTTAGTGTCGTATTATTGAGTATTATACCACAATATGGATTTTGACAGGCGAATGAAATAATTCCCAAGGGCATGATATTACATTTTCAAATTCAAATTAGGTATACGTACGGATTTTACCACGTCGTCGATGCTGGAAATGCTCTCTCGAGGAGTTTCTTGGTCACTTAAAAACCTGAAATAATTGAAATACCATAAATGTGGTTGGTAAACGTTATCTGCCCCTGCTCCAGATCTTTAGGAATCACTGATTTTTTAACTCCTTCCTAAAGGTCCCGAAAATCTATGTAAGTAAATCTATTTTATTTTTTACAGTTTGCACTGTTGCATTCTTGCCATTTCTTGGTATTTCTTCACTAATACCTCATATGCACGACTTTTTTTTATTCCAATCTCAATATTCTACAGATTTGATCAGCCACAAACAAGGATATCGTCTATAACTTTCGATACAATCTATCAGAAATTTTTGGCTTATTGTTTTCTGATCCATATTTATTTCACGTATGAACGTGTTTGTAGCGCTGTCGATCTCGAGTCCTCTATGCTCCGCTAATGCAAAAAACCGACCACGCGTCGAACCGTCGCACAGTGCTTCGAACATATGGCTCTAGAGGAATGCAGAACTTCTCTTTTATTGTAGGCAATTTATTTAAACTAGGTTTATTTGACACAAATGATGAGTACTCTCAATGTACTAAATGATGATGTTCTTAGTCCCACGTTTATGAAAAAAAATCTTATAAATAATAAAAATGTTGGAGCTGTGTTCCATCTAAGGAAATAATAATTTATAGTATGAAAACGGTGTAAGTATTAAATAAATCCCTGTGATAAAAAAGAATTGAAATAACATTAGAACATGATTCCTACAATATAATCCTAATATAAGATAAAAATGTTTTTCTTTAATGAAAAAGAAAAATTAATGTTATATTTAATTAAAAAAAACTTAAGATACTATAAATTTACTTTAGGACAACAGATGGTAACTACTCTGGTTCAGAAGAATCACTGCTGACAGAATCTTCCAAATTTATAGTATCCAAATCACAGGTAGATGAAGTATCCTCACATATAAGATATTTCTGTAAATAATTTTCTAATATGTTACTTTTTCGCGTTGTTACTGTTCTTTTTGTTGGTATGAGGGGTTCGGGTGTTAATAGTTACCTCTTTAATAGACCATATCCATATATTATTTTTTCCTTTTCTTGGGTATGAGGTTTTATAATAAATTGAAAGATGGAAACTTTTTTTATGCGACGTTTCGCTCCAACATAGTGGGCTTTTACAGGCATAAGTGGTGTCTCATTTGACTGGAAGGTTCATCAATATCTAACAAAGAACACATTTTTTGAAATACAAATAATTTTGAGTTCCTGTCCTTATGATCAAGCCAAGTGTTCACTTGTCCTCAGTTACCTAAGGCTTGCTGTACGAAGTTGAACCGATGAGATTAGAAAAGCAAGGCTTCTGCCGGTAATAAAACATAAAACGCTCACGCAAAGAAAAACGTCTTTATTCTACTACTGTAAGAATGCAACTCTCAACTCTATCTCTGCGAAACACTCGCCGGACGCCATCAAGGCACGTAGGCCGGTCCGTTGCAACGTTGCCGTTAGCTCTTAGAAATAACAAAAAATAGGTACATTTAAATTTTCCAGCAAAGTACATACAACAATACTAAACATTCCGCCGCCCTTGAAAGGTTCGGCTTTCAATGAAATAAGAACAAAAAATAATAATCAGGATAGCAATAACAATGATCTAGAACTATAGAATCAACTAGAACAGTAATCACAATCAAGTTCAATTTAAGCTCTCATTCATTGGCAGGACACAGATCTTGCTGATAGCTCGTTTAAACACACCATTTTTGGTTTTGACACTCACTACACGCACTATCGAGTCGGAACCAGGATGCACTTCGATGATCCTACCGAGTGGCCAAAACATAGGAGGCAAATTATCCTCCTTCATTAACACCATTGTCCCCACATCAAGTCGGGGATTGCCAGTTTGCCACTTCGTGCGCTGCTGCAGCAAATGTAGGTATTCTTTAACCCATCTGGACCAAAAATGTTGGAATATTTGTTGAGTAAGATGGTATCTTTTGACGTAATTAGGTTTTGATTCCAATAAAGGTTTCTGTGGAACAGCCGTCAAGACTCGTCCAATGAGGAAATGTCCTGGGGTTAGTGCTTCCAGATCGAAAGGATCATTGGATAATGGGGTTATAGGGCGTGAATTAAGGACAGCTTCCACTTGTGTTAATATGGAATAAAACTCCTCATACGTTAAATGTCGTTGATTCAAAACTCGTTTTAAGTGATGTTTCGTAGACTTCACAGCGGCCTCCCAAAGTCCACCGAAATTAGGCGATCGAGGAGGTATAAAATGAAATTTAATTTGATTATCAGTCAAATAACTTTGAAACATGTCATGATTAGCTAAATTTTGTATAGCCAATAGCTCATTATTGGCACCTACAAAGTTTGTAGCGTTATCGCAATATAAATCCGTGCAGAGACCACGTTTGAAACAAACCTCCTTAGAGTGTTCAAAAACCGTCAGTAGTTAAGTCAGTAATGAGCTCTAGATGTATCGCCTTGGTTGCCATGCAAACAAAGACGCAAATGTAAGCCTTTATAATTCTGCGGTTTTTTAATTTTCCATCTTTCAACTCATAAGGACCAGCAAAATCAATTGATGACGTCAAAAATGGAGAAGTAGGAACTACTCGCGGAGCCGGTAATTGACCCATTTTAGCAGTTAACCCTTTAGGTTTGGATTTAAAACATATAACGCATTTGCGAATACAATTCTTAACAGAATTTTTTCCATTTAAGGGCCAAAATCTTTGCCTTATAAATGAAAGAGTGGTTTGAGTACCTGCATGTAAACTGCGTAAATGCTCATTTTCAATAATTAGACGTGTGAATGGATGTGAATGAGGAAGAATAATCGGGTGTTTTGAGTGATAACAAATATTAGCATTTTGAAGTCTACCACCAACAAGAATTAAACCGTTTTCAAGAATAGGTGATAAAGATCTTAAATTACTTTTAGGATTTACAGAACCAGATTCTTGAAGTGATCGGAAATCAGAGGGAAATGCGGTTATTTGTACCATTTTAGAAAGTGATTCTATGCTGTTATTTATCTCAGCGGGAGATAAACTATTAGAATATTCTCGATTATCTTTCTTGAGTTTTAAGTTATTAATAAATCTTAAACAATAACCAAACACGCGAATTAATTTATTATAATTTGAATATCTTTCGAATATCTCGTGTAATTCAGTATTGGTATTAAAAAATGTCATAGTTTGAGGTTTATACTCCGGAACCTTTTCCGAAATTTTCGCAAATTTAGTAATATTACAATCAGTTGGCCAGAATTCTACAGGTTTTTGAAGATATTCAGGTCCGTGCCACCACAGCTCTGAATATTTTAACTCATGTAGAGTACAACCGCGGGAAATAATATCTGCGGGGTTAAGAGATGAGGATATGTAATTCCAATTTTTTACCATTGTTAGCGAGTGGATCTCCGACACCCGATTACTAACAAAAGGTTTCCACATTCGTGGTTGGCCTGCTATCCATGACAGAACTATCGTAGAATCCGTCCAAAGATATATCTCATTAATTGGAAGATCTAGAATAGATAAACATTTAGATAATAGTCGTGACATTAACAACGCTCCGCAGAGTTCTAAACGTGGTAGAGAAATTGATTTCAACGGTGCTACGCGGGACTTTGCACAAAGTAAATTACATTTGATACAATCCTGCTCGTCAATAGAACGTAGATATATTGCGCATCCGTACGACTTTTCACTAGCGTCAGAAAAAGCATGTATTTGTATATTACGAGGTTTACCTACTAGAACGCACCTAGGAACTTGTAAGGATTGAATGTCTAATAAGTTTGTTTTAAAATTTAGCCATTGTGTGTAAAGAACATTAGGAATTGGCTCATCCCATTCTAGTTGAAGTAACCACAAATTCTGCATAAGAAGTTTTGCGCGTATCAAAATAGGACCCAAAAGAGAGAGAGGATCGAATATTTTTGCAATAAAGGAAAGAATCGATCGTTTTGTCGCTTGATCGGTTTTAAATTCTAAATCTTGACCTTTATACCGAAAAAATATCTAAAGAAGGAATCCAGCATACGCCTAACGTTTTAGTAGATGAGTCATCCGTGATCAAGTACTGCGTATCCGAAGTAGCCGATATAGTATTTAAAAAATTAACATCGTTAGATTGAAATTTCCGTATTTCAAATCCGTATTTTAACAAAATGTTAGATAGATTTTCGCGAATTTTGATTAAGTCTGTGCTATCCGAAGCACCTGTTAAGATGTCATCCATATACATATCTTTATTTATTATGTCGCATTCAGTGGGGTATTCATGGATATTTTCTATTGCAATTTGTTTAAGACAACGCGTAGCTAAAAATGAAGCTGGTTTTTCGCCATAAGTTAGCGTTTGTAAATTATAATATTTAACTTCATCTTGTGGATTTTCTCGCCAAACTATTCGTTGTAAATTTTGATGTTCAGGATGTATTAATATCTGGCGGTACATTTTCGTCAAATCGCCAATAAATGCGGTCGTGTGTCTTCGAAATCTTAACAAAACTGAAAATAGCTCATTTTGTAAAATCGGACCATCCATTAAAGATATATTTGAAGTAGTTTTAGCACTAGCGTCAAACACCACCCTGATTTTAGTCGTAACACTATCTAATTTAATGACACTATGGTGAGGTAAATAATAAATCGGTGTTGATGACACTTGATCTCTTGAAATTTGTCTCATGTGACCGAGTTTTTCATATTCGTGCATAAAATCGCTATATTGTATTTTTAAGTTTTCGTTTTTCGACAATCTTTGTTCCACGGAGTATAGTCTATTTAAAGCACGGTTTTCTGAATCCCCAAGAACCGAAAAATTACCTTTTAATGGTAGTTTGAGTATAAATCTACCCTGGTCGTTTCTAACGAAAGTGTTCACAAAATGCTGTTCACACTCGCGTTCTTCAGAAGTCCAAGATTTTTCAGCTATCTCAGGAACTTCCTCAACTTTCCAAAATCTTTCAATTTGTGAGTTTAAATTGAAATCATCTTGGCAAGCGTCTGTGTTTAAGAAGAAACATTTTGATTGGTGTTGATTTATGGGAATGTTGCCAGCTACAATCCAGCCAAGAACGCTGTTCTGTAGGACAGGTAAACCTTTTCCCATTTTTATTTGACCTTGGGTAAGTAAACTATAAAAAATCGAAGATCCAATAAGCATATCTATGTTCGAAGCGACGTTAAAATCGGGATCAGCGAGTGGAAGATCGGGTATTTTTAAATTTGATATGTCAAACGACATTTGTGGTGTGAAATCGCTGATTTTATCAATCACTAAGCATGAGATATTTGATTTGTATGTATCGCGGATAGAAGAGATTGTTGTGTTAACTTGTTCATGGATTGTCGTTTTAATTTGGTTTATTCCAGAAACTGGCATATTTACATTTCGTGTGCGTAACTTTAATCGTGTTACCATTTCTCGGGTTATAAAATTTGATTGTGAGCCGCTATCCAGTAAGACTCGGCATGAAACGGGAGTATTATTTGCGTCAAAAATATGAATTAGCGCTGTCGCTAATAAAACAAAAGGTTGGGACAGTTTTTGAGAATAATGTGACAACACTGTACAATTTTGGGTTTCATTTGGAGTATTATTGATACGCTGATTCATATTACCTTGGTCTGTTGCAGAAGATACTTGTGAAATATTGACATTTGTTTGAGGTCTAGGGTTTGAAGGATTACTGTTGTTGCGTTTTTCAACATTTGTTGAAGTGGACGCCCCTGATTGATGTAAAAGGGTTGAATGTCGACCATTGCAAATCCTACAACCTGATGATCTACACTCAGAGTTTCTATGTCCTTTTCTTAAACAGTTTGTACAAAGAAATAACCGCTTTACCTCCTCAAAACGAGACGACACTGGTAAAGATTTAAATTTCTGACATACATATCTAAAATGTTTATTATTGCATATATGACAAATAGGACTAGAATGTTCAAAAGATTGGAAACTTTGTTTTTGTCGACATACCAGATTTCCGCTTGATTTCGTGTCTAAAGCCTCTAAAACCTGACATCTTTGTGTCAAAAACTTGGAAAAGTCGTTAATTTTGGGCTTAGTTATGTCTTTACTAAAATTTTCCCACTCGCGTTTTGTAGAAAAATCCAGTTTGGAATTTAAAAAGTATATTAAAATTGTGCTTGCACTTTCGATGGATTCGCCTAAGCTTTCCATGGCTCGTAAATTTTTTAAAAACGTATCTAAGAAATTGCGTAACGTGATATGCGATTCCTTTTGTAACGATGGTAGATCAAAGATTTCTTTAAGATGTGCGTTAATTATTGCCTTTTTATTATCATATCTTTCCGACAGTAGGTTAAAAGCTGTTTCATAATTTGCATCCGAAAGGGGTAGAGATGCAATGACTTGCGCAGCTTCACCTTTCAGACAGGATTGAAGATGGTAATATTTTTCGATGTTTTGTAATGTACCGTTGTTATGTACTAAGGCAGTGAATGTATCTCTAAATCTCTGCCATTCTGAATATTGCCCCGAAAACTCCGGTATTTTTATGGCTTGTAACTTAGTATTTGGCTGCAACTGTTGTACAGCAAATGGGTTAAACAGCGGCGCTGTTGGATTAACCGGTTGTGAGAGATGGGAAATTAAATCTTTCGCGGCAGAAATGGCTTTAAAATACCTAACTTGAAACTCTTCGCGTTCCTCACTTGCTTGATCCGCGTTTAAACTACCTGTTTCTAGCAAAACATCTTCGAGCTCACCCTGTATATTCTTAAATTCCGATAAAATATTTTTTGTTGCTTCGTAACGCGTTTCTATTTCGGTCAGTGTATATTTTTCCGCGGTATACTTATCTAAGTAAGTTTGAAACCGTGTGAGCTCTGCCTTAATTTGGCCTCGACGAGCTATTAACCGTTTTTCTTCTCTTTGTCTTTCTGTCATTTTGTCGTTTTAATATTTTTCAAATGAAATATGCGAGAATTCGAGAAATTATTGTTTTATAAACTCTAATTGTGTTATGTTTAATCGAAATTAACCAAAGAGATAGAGAAAGATCGATAATTTTTCATTATTTAACGAGTTTTTTGTTTAATTTGTGCAAATCATATGTTTTATGATAAATTATTTAATATTCTTTTTGTAAAAGTTGCCTGTTACACCGTGTATATAACTATTTTACCTAATTTATTTACCTGTTGTGAAGTATACGACAATAATCACTTAAATTATTATAAGTTATAGGTTATTATCTTAAATATATCAACACAAGTGGCGAAAAAAAGGATATAAATAGGTTATATATGGTTTAAATAATGGTTAGAAAGGATACGGGATACCTAACTTTGTTGAATCGTGTTCTCGTGCTTGTTTGACCGGAGCCTTGTCAATATGGCTGACGGCGTACGTGATTTTCTTCGTATTTCTTTATTACGTTTTTCGTGGTGCAGCTTCAGCGATGCTTCCTTTTTTTTGTTCAAATATCCGGCTCGAAGGACCAACTTTATGTTCACTTGTCGTCAGTTACCTAAGGCTTGCTGTACGAAGTTGAACCGATGAGATTAGAAAAGCAAGGCTTCTGCCGGTAATAAAACATAAAACGCTCACGCAAAGAAAAACGTCTTTATTCTACTACTGTAAGAATGCAACTCTCAACTCTATCTCTGCGAAACACTCGCCGGACGCCATCAAGGCACGTAGGCCGGTCCGTTGCAACGTTGCCGTTAGCTCTTAGAAATAACAAAAAATAGGTACATTTAAATTTTCCAGCAAAGTACATACAACAATACTAAACACCAAGTATTAACCAGATCGGCATTGCTTATCAATTTTACTCCATCTGAAAAGTATTATAAAATAAAGTTCGTCGCAAGCAGACGCAGGTGAACTATACAAAAATTAAAAGTGTATGAATATGTCAACAAAAATATTCAATAAATACGATATGTTTTGATATGTTTTTTTTAAATACCTTTTTGAAGTTTGAAAACGTAAAATTTTTATACCGATTTAAGAATCATCTTAAAAAATAAATAAAAACTAAACAATTAGAAATAAATTTAAAGTACATACCTTGTTTAACAATTTCCATAGTGGCTTTCAATTAAGTACGTACCGTTTAACTCCATAATATTCAGAACTACTATGAATGTTATTCTTTTCACTGATAAGACAATGATCGCAACATTTATTTTTAGTGAAAATATTTGCTAACAAAAAACGCTGCTTATGAAAAATAATATACAGGATGATTGAACATTGCTATAAGTATAAAATTACATATTCAGGTATTAGTAAATTTTAACTTTTTTTTTTCGATTTTTGTCCATGGGACGAAGCACTGTGCGTCGTTCCAAAAATCAAGCGACGGCAGAAATTTTTATCGACGATGCGACACGACGGTTTTACCCCACATACATGAGTTTTTAGCAAAATTTTCACGACGTTTTGGATCGCGGCGTTACGAAAGGATGAGATTAACCGTAGTCTGTGGCGGGCTTTACAGTTGGGAAATTTGCACCGCATTTTTGCGTCTTGCAAAATTGGCCAATGCCCAGTTTGATCCGTCCAGACTTCTGTCCGGGTTTCATAGGACCTCTGCTTCTCTTTTCGTCGATGTCATTTTGCAACTAGAACTTGGGCGACCTCGCTTCGGAGCTAGAGATTCTATACAGCACAAGTAATTTGCAACTTCAGCACGAAATTCAGCTTCACTTTTTAGTTTAATATCTGGTTGATTTTTAGTTAGTGCCCGTTTATATAATAACCATGAATTGACTAGCGCTAGATCTAGGAGATGGTAAAAAATTCTCATGTATTATTTTCCTATTTTTTACTCTGATTTTATATCTCCCCATAATACTATCCAACAGGCCCACTACGCCCATATGTCTATTATATTCTCGTATTATATTAGGGCAATCCACTTCTATATTTTTCTTTTTTTCGATCAAATCTTTTTAAATTCGAAATCAGATTTCTTTCAGCAAATGAAGATTCCAAAGAAACATATTTGTTGCCTTTCCAAATAACAGTGGAAATATCAACACCTTCAATTGTTGCGACAAATTCATGACATGAACCAAGATCGGTATTTTTCAATGCAGCTTCTGTTAACAATTTGGTATTGGGAATTATTCTTGTGGCGTTATTCTTTTGAAACAAAAAATAAATAAAAAGTCTTAGAAAGAAAAATAGAAAGTTTCAGAGATGGCTGAATCCACTACAAAATTTCTTCTCTGTAGATACCCTCTAGCTTTTATACAATGAAGACGGGGTGAGTTACAACTAAATGTAATTTGGGCTAGCCGAAAAAAGCCTTTATTTACTATCGATAGTTGTGCCTCGGTGGTACGAAAGTACTACTATTGCACGCAGGCCGCTATCTCGCGATGCGGGACTTAATATCTTACCGCTACTTTACAACAAGTCGTGTTTATATACTCTGCACTGTGCTCGACATATTGTGGAAACGACCCAAGCTCACCTAATGATGGGGTAGGGCCCCGAAACCGGTAGTGAGAGCAGGTTGATCCACATTATGTCGAATACAACGTGGAATTAATTTCTATAATAGCAGTTCAAGGCCAGAAACTCTTATATAATAAAAATAATCTCTACATATAGAGAGAGTAATCACTCCAAATTTCCCAACTATAATAATAATAAAAAAAAATATAGTAAGCTTACAAAAAAATATATAGCTATATGCGGTTTACATAAATGATCATAATATTCAAAAAAAGTTCAATTTTAAATAGCTTATCTAGGTGCATGTGCCTATAGGATTCCTATGCAGCATCAAAAACAAAAACCCACTTCTTTGCAAGTAGATCTGTATCCTACAAAAAGTGCCTCAGCAATACGTAAATGTAATACGAAGGAGAAAATAAAATGGACAAAAAAAAACAAAAAAAACTCTCTGTCTGAAAGGTTTCTTTTTTTATTCGATTATACTCTGAAGTAACTCCTAGGTCGGGTTCGTTTTTTGGTACTTGCATTTTTTCCAGGCGTGTCAAATTTATAGGCAAAGCCTGAAACTCCTGACATCACAAAAAATTTGAAACTCCGTTTGTGGGGTTTCAAGGCATATATTGTTTCATGTAGTGTAGTGTATAAATATTATTACACCCTGTACATAATAGTTTAGATATAAGTATTTCTTAAGTTAAGTTAATTAAGGTCAGTTTATATTATATGTTTAGAATTAGTTGTTTATATAATATTAGAAATGCAACTATGCATTATTGGATGTCGCGCGATATGCTAATTAGGGTTAATCGTTAATGAATTACTATTAAGATTTACACAAGAACAGATTGTACTAGTTATTCGAAATGAAGTTGGTTTTTTATATAGTCTTAGAGTTTCTTTCAGAGCATGTAATTGCGAACCCAAATAAGAACATTACAGTAGTGCCTAACTTTAGTTGAGCACATCTGTTCATTACTAATTATTCATTACTGCTATTGTATTGTATTTTGTATTTGACTAAGAGTGGGTCCCATGGAACCCTCCACTGCGGCCGCGAGGGCCTATTGTGGCTTTGTTTTCTGTTCATCTATACTAAGATGTTGCTCTAATCGCACTGAAGAAGATTTGTTGTTGAAAAAATCAACTATAGGCCTAATTTTGTGGTCTGTCATGACCTTGTTTATCGCGCGGTATAAAAGTGTCGTTGTTAGCGAAATGTTTAAATTTTCTCATCTTCTTCGAACATATTTACGGGCATTAATATTTACATCCGCTACTGGTGCAAATCGTAGTTCCTTACTCCAAAATGACCTCAGGTTGGGCCTATGAACCAAAGATCTAAACATTATGATGCTAAGGATTTTTTTTACGTCACTTTCAGTAAAACATGGCGGACGCTCAGGTTTGGTTTGCACTGCATATATGTTTGTCTCTAATAAATTAGTGTGATGAGCTCTTTGGGGAAGAAATAATTGAAAAAATCATATGTATTTTCTAACGATAGAATATTGTCAGGCAAGTCAATATTGAAACGGAATCGTAATTGATCTATATTTAGCTCTAAACACTTTGATATTTTTGATCATGATCCGCTTACCTCCTTTGGTAGGTTTAATAAAGACAGAAAGCGGAAGATTGTCTTCATCATATCGTATCTATCATCATCATCTGTATCGCTTTCATCACATCCATCGTCACTAAGTCTACTATTCTAAAAACTTATTCTTGCTCATTATGAAACTGAAAAAATGTATGTATGTATGAATCTATGTATTCAGTGGTATAAAAAGAAATATAAGTATATTCGTGACATTTTTCAATAAAATACATAAAAAGTCTTTCTGTGCTCAAATATTAGAGATTTAAAAAAAATAACGAGAGCGAAGCCATACGAATATATTACAATCACGCTACCTCCTGATCCATTGGCTGCAAAATAGATGTCACTAATGGAGGACTTGACAAGATATCTGTATTAGGGTGGGACGGACCGTTGTCCAATAACAAAATTACCTCTAATGGGAGATTTTTATTTTTCAAACGATTTTGTACTTGAGGTACAAACTGAGAGAAAAACCAGTCTTTGCACAACTCTAAATCTATCCAGGCTGCTCTCCGAGGCCGATAGGACACTGGCAGTGCATCTCTATTAAGGTTTTTAAAAGCTAGGGGATTTTCAGGCTACAACCAATTACAAAAAGTGTAACTTGTAACGGATAATTTGCTGCAAATTGCAACCGTAATTCTCTCCTTATTCATTTTAAAACCCTAAGCGGATGGTGCTGGCTGCTTCTTTGTCTGCTGATAACTTTTCGCCACAAATGCTCAACATATGGATTACATGCCTTTGCTTCCAGGGGGTGATCCAGCCGTCGCCCGTAGTGAAGCCTTCACCTGCATTTATATTTTTATGTAACAATGGAGCTTTTTCCTTATGCAACAGTCCACTTAAGAGAGTTTCTCGACGTCTTTCTTGCATAAAGCATACCTACAAGACATCATCCAACACTTCTAATTTAGATTTTCTAACAGTTTTTTGCCAACTTTAAGATTTTTTGCAATTTTTGAAACATTCTCACCTTTATCTAACCTTTTAATGGCATCCAGTTTATCCTGAACATTTAAAACATTCTTTTTCTCCGTCATACTGCTACGATACGTAAGATATACATACATATATTATGATATTAAACAAGGGAACGATGATACAAAACGCTCATGACAAGTCTCAACTATTAATAACTTTGCATGTTCTTATTTCGACGAGTTTCGACAGCAACGATGACTAATTATTACGATAATTTACTAATATAATTACGATAATTATTACGATCGCCGAGTGGCAGATTATCGGGAGTATATCGAACAGATTATCACTGTATATCGAACCACACCTGACCTTTTTACTAATAGCATTTCTCTGTAGGGAAATACGTCTGAAGGAGACCTGAAGGTGATTCGTTTTAAATAAAATTACTCCTAGATTATGTTTTTCCACTTTTATTTGGCTTACTTCTGACCACTTAAATTATTCTCCCTGGTCATCTTTCTTAATGGACAAAACTCTAAGGTCTTGAGACAACATTTTAAAATCCTAAAAGTCCTTGTACTGCATCTCGTTTACTATGCAGGGGTGTTTCTAGCCAGTCTAAAAACAGGTACAAGTTGGCTAGGAATGAAGACATCCCCTACCTTTTTCACTGATGTTGAAATGGCACTGTGAGCCGAGTCACCCTCACTTTGACCATGGTTCTTCTCGAAGAAATAGTGAGTTATGACTTCAATATTTTTGCTTTTGGACAAAAAATAAAGATACATTGAAGGTGTGACTGAGAATTTTTGTTTTGGTCATAGCACCCGTCAGAAAAGAAATACAGTTTTTACACCTTCTTTATCATAAATTTCCAGAAAACTTAAAAAGACATGTTGAAATCTCTGATGAGCCTCTCTTGCTTTGACCCTCATGCCATGTGTAACAGTGGCAATCTCTGTTTGCGATATTATACACTGTAAAATTGTATACGCTTAATCGTAACAGCCTAACCCTTACAGCAGGGTTAAAAATCGTGTGGATCTGTGTGGCGGGACTAACGTGCACAGCGTGTATTCATAGGGATCCAAGCCAAGCGCCAATTTCTTGTTTTGATAAAAACGCGTTTAACTTTGATACCTTATCATAAATCTCCTAATTAATATTTTTGGTTGCTGTTTCCATTTTTGAAAGACCTGTAGTTAACTTAAAAGTTTAGCATTTAAATTAAAAATTAAAATAAAACTGATTATATATATTAAATATGGTGATTGGATCTCTTTATATATTTAGATATGTATTGGTTTTAAATTTATTTAAACAGCATCAAAGGAAGTTTTGGATGTTGGCTCTTTATATAGATTTAAGAATAAAGTTAGTATTGAAATGGCTACTTTTAAATAAATTTACACTTTTTATTTTAAAACATTTCATTCAACATTGGTGCAAAAATATAGTAAGAATCACAAAAACGCTTTTTATTGCAAAATACACTAATTGCTAAAATGGTAATACAGACACCGAATGTTTTTTTTTATACAAAACACTTTCTACAGAAATGTAAGAAACAAAACAGTTTTTGAAAATATTCTACCTACAAAACTATAACTTCAAAACAAAAAACGATGTTTTTTACGAAAACATCAACTACTCTACTAATTTGTACAGTACAATTCGTGACCACGCTATACTAATAATACACTACCTACTCTAAAACAGCTAACAAACATGTACCTACTGATTTATTTTAACTATCTTCCTCTACAAAATCTAAATCTTGACCAAACCCATCAATATCATCTAAAAATTCCCCAGTTTCATTAATTTTATAAAAATATTTAGCATCTGTGGGAATGAAGCGTAACAAACTCTTAATGTCAGCAGCTTTTTTGTTAGAAATTGCCTTTCCATTAGGATGTATTTTTTTTAAATCCTCAAAACCTAGAAGGCTAATGGATTTTCTGTCTTTGGTAGTTTTCGAAATATCTACTTTCTGAAAGTTCGTAATAACATGCTTTTGTACAAAAGGAATCAACCACCAATTGTTGATGTTGGTTCTATTTACATTAAATTCGTGGAATACAATATCTTAAATAATAATTACGTCTAGTACTAAAACAAAAATATTTTTTCAAAAATAAATAATAATAGCTAAATTATTAACTTAATCAAAACAATATTTAAAAAAATACGTTTTCACTGACTAACATAACCTATAAACTGTTTGTTTTGTTGCATCTACTTAGCTTTTTTCGCTGAAAAATTTGGACAAACATAATAATCCCTTTTGCTTTGGTCAAGGGCCTTTAACACTATCAACTTTGATCTTTCACTCATTTCACTTAAAATCCAAAACTTATAACTGTCGAAAAAATGTAAAGAGAACCAAGCAAGGATATATAGGATATATCCTTGGAACCAAATGACATTTGCTATTCATATAAAAAGGTGTGTCACTTGGATCTCTTTATGTAAAAAAAAACAGCTATTTTAATGATGTCGCTTGGTTCAACGCGTCATATGGCGCTTTAAATGAAATATTTTCATTCCGAACATTTTATGATGACATAAGTAACCCTTCTGCTAAAAGATGGCACAACTAACTAATTTTTCGAATTTTGGCGCTTGGTTCCCTATGAATAAACGTTATCCATGTGATATATACTTGGCAACTTTGTTGAAAAAATGTTTTACAAGTACATTATAAATATCCATCTGCTTAGTTTTGTTTTTGAGAGGATGTTTGCCTCTTCTATCTATAGGCGGAGTAGTTTGTTCGCCACCTCTTGTTTTATTAATTAGAGCCCTCGTCAAGCGACCATCTGACACCCTTAAAGCATTTTTAAAAAAAGTTTGCTGACATTAACGCTATCTCCATTTTCTTTTGGCAGCTTATAAATCCGTGTCTTCGGCGTTTGTCTGGATCTTGAGAATGTGTGAACAGAATGTGTGAACCTTATTAGTAACTGTTACTTGGCCATTGATATAAGATGTTTGCAAATTAAAATTTGACAAATTGTAAACATTTTCGAATATCCGTTTTCTCTCTTGAATACTCAGTAACAAGTGGCATCATCTGGAACAATTGCAGTCTGCGTCAAAGAACGATTTTTCTGGAACTACGTTATCCCTGTAGTTTACGTAAGATTTTCCAGAGTTTCTTGAAAATTTACTCTTCTGCCTTTTCCTTTTGTGATTTATCTTCCTTTCTCTTCTTTTTTTTCATCCACAACGTTGAGACCAGGTGCAGTCATAGTCGATTCTCCAGAATCGCTTTCGGACTCGTTATCCGTTGGCGAGTGAAAATCCGAACCAGAATCTGTATCGAATTCGCTGGGTTCGGCGATGCTAGAAGTATCTGACATTTTTAGTATTGAAAATACTTCTGGCCGCGTTTATATGGGACCCATCTTTGAAAAAACGACATGCTAGAGCCGCATGGGTTCGTTAACCTGCCTGTCAACACGTCGATAGTTTAGCCGGCGTTATAGGAATATGGAATAGGGCAAGGTCGTTCAAAGGCCGAAATGAGGTAGAAGTCGTAAATAAAATGATCCATAATGTTAAAATACGCTTCGAAGTGTTAAAAGTGTTGAAAATTGATTAAAATCTGTTAGGTTTAAGATATTGGTGAGTACTTTTTGAGTTTTAAGTCAAGTATGTAGGTGAGAGAAATATTATGTGATTTATTCGATGGTATAAGCCGTGAAGCTAATAGGGTGTGTGTTATATTTCATGAATATTTCATTTTATTTTGTTCGTAACTGAGTCTTGTAAGCTCACACTGTATTTGTAAACAATAAGGTATTATCCTTATTATGGTACTTATATGTATGTATATAATTTTGTATTCTCTGTTTAATGTATTTGTACACAATTTTTTTTATATATTTCTTAATTATCATATTATTTAACAGTATCAAAAGTAATGTTGCCTCCCATTTTTATACAGGGCGGTAAAGTTTTCAGGAAAATCAGTTTTTTTTATAATAACACTGATACTATTTTAAATATCTTTATAAAATTTAGTACTCGCCTTCCATGTATCAAGATGTATTTTTTCATATAAAAACAGTTCTGTAATTTTTATTTCAGTTGCGTCCTTACGGGATTGGGTTAGTTAATTAAATTTGATTTCTTGATTTTCTTAACAGTTTAATAGCGAAGTGCTTTAGACTTTAAATCGATACATATGATAATATTCTTTTTTCTCCGAAATTATGGAATTGTCTAGTTGTAAAATTTATTGATTTTAGTATACTTTAGTTGTTATTAATATAAGTTAAAACGACGCTAACTCCTTTATTGCATTTTTTAATTGATTAGTAATTTTTTTGATTTTATCCAGTGTGTAAGCCACCAATGCACATGTCATATTTTGCACCCATGCCTCATATTTGTATTTTACCACATTTTAAATTTATATGTATGCATATATGTTATTTTTGATTGTAATATAATATTTGCTAAACTTTCTATCATGTATTTGTATATCATTTTTTATATCTCCCGTAATTTTCACATTATTTTACAGTCGACATCAAAAATAATGTTGCCTCTGCACTTTGACCTAATATACGTATAAGTATTTGTTAAAACAATACTCGCCTATTTTATAAACATAATTACTTGAAAAAAAGATACTTATTTGGCTTATTTAGGTATATCCACTAATTTACTTGCACTTCGAAGTAAAATTCATTTTCGAAATACAAGACGTTTTTGAAAATGAAAATGTCTAAGCACCTCTCGTATCCCAACGATCTCATAACTTATCGAAAAGGTAAAAACTAATGGTCGTGTAAATTTTGAACCTATTGAATTATGCTAGAACTGCTTTTTCCTAGTAAATTATGACAGTTAAAACTTAATTTTTTTTTTAATTTCATTATCTCTTGGATGGTCTATTTATGGTCTATCATTATAAATTTGTTGTTCTCCTTTGTGGCTTTATAAAAATAATATTTTTAAGTATTTTTACATTTAAATTATAATTGACAACGACAAATCATAGGCTATGCTAGTCTTTGCAGTATAACTTAATTCAAAATTGGTCGCAAATTTCCTTAATTAACCTAGCATAAGTCGTAATACAGATTATATCAGTGTAGGAGTAATCAGATCGGAAGTCATAAGTTGAATCGGATATAAAATGCAAATATAATATATAAATATAAAATCCAATAGTTCACGTGATGACTCGAATCGAGTGATCTGTGGTACCTTTTAAAAAATGGCGGATAAGCGAAACGGTTCATCGTTCATTAACTGAATCTTCGTTAAAAAAATCTTAAATACTACAGAAGATGAAAAAAAAAAGCTAGAAAACTTAAATTAAAAATTGCTAAAGTTTTATCAGTAACTACAATCGGTACTTCTTTTTCGACCTTGGAAGATTTTGAAGGACCATCAGAGACAACAGGAAATATAAATCAGGAAGGTAAGTAATAATACCTAATATGAATATGGTTAATAAATATTACCGTGACTTACCATTGGTGTATATACGGATATGGAAAACGTCTCGGAGAGCCAAGATAATAAAATTGATTTTCATAAGAAATAAGAAGTTTCTTATTCGCAGCATTTCAAAAATATTTTATGACAGGCCTCTGGACAGGCACACATGTCAAAGATATTAAAATTGAGGGGCTTAGAATCCTAATCCGGCGTCCGTTTGTCGTTCATCGTTCCGTCAAACCAGTAAAATTGAAATATTATCTGTCATTTTGCAATAAACCAATAAAACTGGTTAAAAACAACAAGAGACTACGCATGACGGATTTATATTTAAACCCATCCATAGCTAACTTAAAAAATATTGGAAACTTTTTTAGTAAAATAAATAGATTGGTATGGGATGTCATCTGCTTTTCTTGTCATCGTCTGTCTTACCTGAGAAAAAAACAGAGTATATATGTATACATCGATAATCTAATCAAACTGGTAGTTTCGACCTTTAAACCGATATTAATTATTATTACGTTTACTTTCTTATTTTTCAGAATTAATATTAAAAAATTATAGGTACCTACCCTTAAAATCAGAAATTTTGTTTCAGATTTATATTTTTAATTAATAAAGTCCAATGCAAGAAACAACATAATGAAACCACCATCACTAAATGTCAAGATTCAATAATAAAAAGAAAAATAATAAAAACTTTTGTGACCAAATTTTTTTTTACATTAATTTTATTAATATAATTTATTTTTGCTGCTTACCGCCACGACCTTACATTGCATGGTTTCTGTAACCAAGAAATAAATATCACAGTTCAGTAGTAAACATTATAAGGGTGACCGTAAAGTATCGAATAAGTTCATTTAAAATTAAGGGGTGTGTAAAAAAAGTTTTTTTCTTCGACAACCGCCAACTTGTGTCTGGTATTTTCAATACGCCTATGATGGTTGCGCATGTTGCAAAATCTGTGAATTTTTTTTGATCTAGAACAAATAAAAAATCTTGCTAGAATCTTAAGAAGCGTGCTCAAAAACTAACGCGTAGCAATATAATATAAAAAATGACCCTATAACAGAAACTAGAAACCGTAAAAAAATGGTAATAAGATAGTAATATAGTTGTTCATTGAAGTATGTACCTAAGCTACTCGTTAAAAAAAGCACTGCCCAGACAAGGCAACATTTTTTGAAAAAAAAAATTATGGATACGATAGGCCGAAGCCGAAGCACTCCCTATACTTGGTTTTATTTTTAAGTTATAATATTTTTGTTACTATTAATAGTTTATTACATGCATGAAATATAAATAAATAAATAAATAAATAAATGCCTTTATTGTCAAAAAATTTTTCAATTTGTAGAGAAAGGTAAACTAACAAACAAAGTAGAAAAAAAAACAAGGTACACAAACAAACAAACAAAAGATAATACAAAACATTATATAAATAATATTGTCAGTCTTATTGTTAATAAGATTTATTTATTAACATTATAAATGTTTACAATGGCAAAGAACAAAAAATTTAAAATAATATTCAAAAATATTTAGCCAGTTTATCGCAAAATATCAATGACCTCTAAATAAATTAATTTCGATGTCATTAGTAAACATAGCAATAGCAAACATTAGACCAGTGTTTTCAAGATCAAATTCGATTTTCAATTCAAATATAATTCATTTACGGCGTAGAAAGCTTTGTCTAGTAAATAAGAGTTCAATGCTTTGCGAAATGAAAAAAATGATGTTATGGATTTGATTTCAAATGGCAGGTGATTGTGCATTTTTTTCGAGTTGTATAATATTGAACTTTTAACTAACTCTGAGCGTGGGGTAGGTAGATAAAGATCTTGCTCCGCGTTCCTGAGTGGATAAGTGTGAGATGGCCTTTCTTGAGAAGCTGATACATGTTTACGTATTAGGCAAACGGATTCAAATATAAATAAGGAAGGAAGAGTCAATATTCTTAATTCTTTAAAAAAGTCCCGGCAATGAGTTCTGCTGTTTAGTCCTAGTGAATATCGAACAGCTCTCTTCTGGAGCTTGAAAATGTGGTCAAATTGAGTCGCACAACACGTACCCCAGAATGGAAGGGCATACCTGAGGTGCGACTCAAAAAGTGCATAATAAACAGTTCTAGCCACTGACAAGTTAAGCTCCTTAGAAACAGACCTTAATGCAAAACAGGCAGAGCTCTATTTTTTGACAAAGCTTCGATATGTATGTCCCATTTCAGAGAATTGTCCACAACAAGCCCTAACAATTTTACAGATTTTACGACGTCAATGGTGGTGTTGTTAAGTACAAAAGGATGCAACGAGTTTTTATACGACAAAGCTTTAGTTTTAGAAATGTTGAGACTCAGGAGGTTCGAATCGCACCAAGATTTAATGGTGATTAAGTCATTTGATATAATCCTATGAAGTGCCGTGATGTCCTTGTTGCTCCAAGTGAAGCTAGTGTCGTCCGCAAAAAGACATATTTTGCCACTGATGTTTATGTTAGCAATGTCGTTAATAAAAAGAAGAAACAAAACAGGGCCTAGTACTGAGCCTTGTGGTACTCCACATTCTATTGGCTTTCTAGAAGACAACGTGGTATCCACCCTCACAAGTTGACTTCTGTTGCTCAGATACGACTTAAACTATCCGAGAGATGATCCCCTGAACCCATAGTGCTGCAGTTTATTAATTAAGATCTTATGATTAACAATCGAACGCCTTAGAAAAATCACAGAAAATTGTTGCTGTAGAATGATGGTTGTTTAGGCTGGAGTAAACTTTATTAAGGAGGGAAAACATAGCGTCATTTGTGGACTTGTTGCTTAGAAATCCAAATTGATATTCAGTAAGTATTTCGTACTTAAACAGAAAAGATACCAGCCTTCTTTTAACCAACCTTTCTA